CAACCCTGTTGAGTTTTTGGCACACTCATCTAGATTACAGTGATATTTGACATCCCTATTGAGTTTGTGGCACACTCATCCAGGGTACAGAGGCATTTGGCATCCCTGTTGAGTTTTTGGCACACTCATCTAAATTACAGTGATATTTGACATCCCTATTGAGTTTGTGGCACACTCATCCAGGGTACAGAGGCATTTGGCATCCCTGTTGAGTTTTTGGCACACTCATCTAAATTACAGTGATATTTGACATCCCTATTGAGTTTGTGGCACACTCATCCAGGGTACAGAGGCATTTGGCATCCCTGTTGAGTTTTTGGCACACTCATCTAAATTACAGTGATATTTGACATCCCCATTGAGTTTGTGGCACACTCATCTAGAGTACAGAGGCATTTGGCAACCCTGTTGAGTCTGTGGCACACTCATCCAGGGTACAGAGGCATGTGGCATCCATGTTGAGTTCATGGCACACTCATCCAGGGTACATTGGCATTTTGCATCCCCATTGAGTTCGTGGTACACTTATTCAGGGTACAAAGGCATTTGGCGTTCTTGTTGTGTTTGTGGCATACTCACCCAGGGTACATTGACATTTGGTTTACTTGTTGAGTGTATGGCACACTCACCAAAGGCACAGTGGCAGTATACCCTTGGCTGTATTTCTAACGTTGGAATACGACTCTCGGTGTATGAAATTGCGCCATAAACGTTCCAATTGGGAAAACAACAGGCGAGTTTACAGCCGCCGCTTGTTGCCTAATCAGAATGGCGGGATCGTGTACCACAACATCATTCATCACCACGCCTCGATGACGTCATGGCAACCTGAATTTATTACGTGTACTTTATGATTTGCTGTTTATTATTAAGGTTTGAGTCAAAACAAGACTCGATAGTGTTATCCTACATCGCAAAAAAGTATTGGACCACCTGTAAACTCTGGACATAACACGACGTTGACAATCAAAATTGGAATCCTCGTAAATAAAACAAAATCCAATTTCATTATTTAGTTTGCTAAATTACAAAGATCTGTCTTCGTGCTCTCTTATCACGCACCGATAGTCTGACCTTGAAGCTGATTGCAAAGGTCGGTGGAGTATGCTTTACTGCGCATGTGCTATTGCAGGTGACTCGAAACAATGGTGCTGGCAGTCAGAATTTCCACGGAGTGTTGCATTGTATAGTAGTGTGTTTCTAATAATAGACAGTTGGACAATGGACATTTCCAACTAAAATCATTTCAAGTTTAACGAAGTAATTGTTAACCAGTACAATGGTTTGTATGTTCTTTAATAATAATGACTTGATTTGTTTGTTTCCGCGCGAGGAACCTTCAAATGGTGTTCTATTTAATAGTTTTTGAATGGGTCTTCAATTTCATAAATCAATAATAAAGAGTATATGACATTAAACTTGGACTTGTATGTGACAGGTAAGTGTTGAGCTGCGTTTAGAGTGGGGATGTTCGATTAGAAGTTTCCGTTACTTGACAATGTGTCATGTTACTCCATTGTCACACAAAGGCAAAACAAATACCGTCCAGCCTTATTTTATGAATGCTCGGTATATTTTACAATGCAGTCATATCGTAAACATACCTGTAATGTACCCATCAATTGTTCTCCGTAGATGGCGGGTGCAATGCGATGGATTATGAGTAATTTACTACAAAATTTACCGTTAGGGATTGCTCCAACACCGTCAGTTTTTGACATATTGTCATGTTCGTGGAGGGGGGGGGGGTATATGGCCAAAAAAAATGCCGAATTCTCATATTCAACCCACACGCCTTCCCGTCTATATAGGCGGGGTTTTGACCTAAACTGACCTTACATTTTTGCAGAGCGATTATTTTTAACAAGAAATGACCCTGCAAATATACATGTGTGCTCAATGATAATTTTCTCGTCAGTATTCAAGCCTTTAATCAATGTTAAGTATTTACCTTGACGTGATTATTGAACTATGGTGTGCAGTTTTGATATTCGTTTGGAAACAATAGCGGATTGCCTAGCATATTGTAGTAGTATTTTCAGCCATTGTTTGTTGACAGTTCAAAGTTCAACGCATTGTAATACTACAATGCACTGCCACTTTAGCCGTCACGGGCGGAAATAACCTGCGCGGGGACTCAAAGTCAGTCTCGCACAGCTCAATCGAATTACAAGTAAATTACTTTGAATGTGTGACATCAACTTTTCTAAGAATTTGCAGACTGTACAACAGTTAGCGTTTCTTGTTATTGAACTGTCAGTGTATGATTCTATGCGTTACCATGACAACATTTTATTTTTAAATAACGAGATTTTTTCATAGTGTACAATTTAAATACAACCTTGTATAATTCAAGGACATCTGGAATTCCACTGTTAACATATGTATTCAGCTGTTCCTGGAAACGCAAACGATCACGTGACTTTGTGTCGATCAACAATGGCCAGTACGATCACATACAATCAGCAAATGTGCGTCAGACGTAGAAAATATCGCCGTCACTCAGTGTAGACTGCAATGTGATCTGACAGGGTCTATTCACTAATCATATCATGATTGAATTGAAAGCCTAATCCCCTGTATTAAATTTCATGACCGCATACGCAAGTCAGTTTAACAAGTGCAATGTCCTCGTAACATGTGTAACATAGATGTATAAAATAAACAGACGTCACATCCATGTGAAGGTCAATGTCAAGGTATATATTATGTCCGACAAAGCTGAATAATATATTTGGACGGTTGTATTGTTAAGAAAAACGATGGCTTACCTTGGCTGTGTTTCTTTACTAACCAAGCTTGCTCAGGGATTGGCACCGCTCTTAATGTTTTATTTTCCAGTATAGTGTAGTCTGTATTATTGTTATTACCTGGGATTTCCCTGTAAATACGTCATGGGTTATATATATATCAGCCAATCAGCATGTAAAGTGAATGTCCATAGTGTACTGAATCAGCGATTGGATACGCTACATTGCTAGAAAAAAATGATTGTGGATATAACAAACTCGAAGATGTGAAACAGCTGCCATCGACACCGATCTACGTAATGTCGTACCTTACGTACAGTCAGTATAATAGCCATTGGCGTTGGCTGAGTCGTTGGTCGTTAGTATTTAATGGGTGGTGGATGGCGCAACACATACACGAGGAATTGTCTATAAAATGAGTCCTTGTACTAAGCTGTTGAATTGACCTCAATATTTTTATGATAAAATAATAATAAAATCATAAATATGTAAATATATAACATTTCGGGGTATGGGTCTCATATAAACAAAGATGGCGACTTTAACTGTTATACAGACGTTACCAAAATTTTTAATTGGATATTAGGTGATTGTAAGGTATCGAAGGAGTCACTGGCGGTAATCAGTACAAGACGCGCCCAGGTCAAAACTCGTACTCGTGATTTCATTAGAAGAGCGCATTGGATTGCGGAAAAATCAATGTCTACCAACACAAATGTCGCATATGCCCGGCACGACGACCACCGTCCTTTAAAAGACGGATGGGGATGAAGCACGGTTAAGAGTAATAAAGAAACAATTTGCAAAATATGTGATAGAAAGTGGGGAAATATAACATAATTATTTTAAGAAACATTATATATATACATATTTATATATTATTTATATATATTTATGATTTTATTATATAAACTTGCTATAAACGTGTAGTATCATATTTCACAATAGATAAAAAGTGAGGCAAATTAGTAACACATTTACATCCAAAACAAGACCCTGCGCTCAATATCCAGAAATATTTTAAATGTTTGCTGTATTTTCTTACCATTTTTTACTGTGTTTAATTGTTTAATATAAGTTGTTTCTCCATGCGACCGATTAACCGTGCTTATTCACCACAATATAGAATTCCACGTCACATGCTGATTGGCTGATACATTTAACCCATGACGTAATTACGGGGAATCCCACTTAATAAAAATAATACAGGCTATACCATACAAAGAAATATATATTTGTTACTGACAGCTTCAACATACAGTTGGCGTTGGCGTACCTTTCCTCAGCTTGAAGCAAGCTTTGTTGGCAGAAAAAAACATTCAAAGGTAAGCCGTTTACGGTTTGTTTTCAAAATATAATTCCCCAAATGTATTATTTGCATTGCCGGATACATTTCAGTGACCTTTACTTATGCTGGTATTGAAGTCAGAAATTTTATTTATGATTTCATGTCACGCAAGCGCTGAACGCTATCACGATTTATTTTATTTGACCATGTACCGAGGATTTAGAACAGAAGAACGGAATTACATGCATACCCTCCTTAGTAGTCTTATATATATAAAATAATAAACGCGCGGAAAACAAAATATAAATTTGTACGAACAAACTTATTGCCATCGACAGCCACCTAGGTCGGGTGATATCAATGTGTTCGTGCTTTAGGGCATATTTACCGAGTATGGTGCGTACGTGATAAATTAACTGATAACGCCATTGTTGATCGTCACAACGTAATGTGGGTGTTGGGCGTTTCCTGGGACGGTTGAACACACACGATAGCAGTGGAATTCCAGACGTCCTTGAAGACAATTAATACACTGACAGTACAATAACAAGAAACGCTAGCTCTCGTACTGCCTGCAAATTCTTGGAATTGTCGTTGTCACACATTCATAAGAATTTACTTATAATTAGATTTGTGCGAGGCTGACTTCAATAGAGTCCTAGCAAAGGTTACGAACATTCGTAAAAGATACAGTGTATCATAACATCACAGTGCGTTGATCTAACAAATCAATGGAAATGGCTACCGACAGTGTAATGAGATTTTTAACTTACATTAAAATAAATGTCTCATTTAGATGAATTATTTCAATTGCCTTTTTCAATAAATAAATAAATAAATAAAAAATAATTAAATAAAATAAAAAATAAAGAGAATAATGTACATGATAAGGTCTGGAATGTAGCCATTATTCCTGTTAAATTGATAAAAAAGTAAAAATATCCTTTACATTATGAGAATAAATTACATTAAAACATAGAAATACATGTGTAAAATTGTAAAATATAATAATTTCTATAACCATTTTGAAAAGACGTTAAATTAAATAAATAATGACAAATAAACTGAATCACGTGATTAATATTCAAAACTTACCCTTTTACATTATTCCTTTTAGTGGAATTCAAGACTATTGTTAAGATAAATTATTGCAATGAATGTTATCAACCACTTGCTGTATATTGATTCTTTATTTAAGTTTATTCATTAACTAAGTAACAATAATGTGTTTACTCAAATGCCGACATCTGTATCAGTCCGCCATTATTTACCTTGATGAGGGGAAGTACGTGATGAGTAGGGGATTTTGATTTTTTTTTGCCATGTAAAATCCCATCTAAAAATAAGAAATATGACAATAAGTCAATAACCCAGGGATGGATATGGGTCTGTATGGATAAATAAATGATATGATACCTTAATTCGAGTCTTTGACTCCTGCCATAACTTCCGTGTATGACCTAAGCTATCGCAGTTTGGAAACAAGACCTCTTTTTTAATGTCCATTCTGGACATAAATTATTATGTGCTCAGTTTTGCTCTTAACCTGCCGATGCTACATACTTTTTTTAATGTACGTTGGTCGGCTAGACTTGCTTAAAGGTTTATTATTGTTTACTTAAAACAAATTTGATTAAAAAAAATATTAGGCAATACTAAATAATTAATTGTTGTTATATTTTGTGGGCACTCCGATTCTGGATTTTCTGTCCACTCCATTGTTTTTGTTTTGTTTTTTGCAGTCAAATTTTAAAAACTTGAAGAAAAAACAGTGTATGCAAACCACTAGCTCTGTGTATCTATACGCAGAGGTGGTCATTCTAGTCAGGATCTTGCTGGCGCCTCACAAAGTAAATATCGTCCCCTCAAACATCCTGCAAGGCAAGAAAGTTTAGGGGTCGGGATAATGTACACGGAACCAGTTAACTCTTATTTACAAGCGACTGAGGTTATTTTTTTCAGATTTTACGACGTATACGACAACGCAGACTGCAGTGTGGGTGTACAATCCGAAATGTGCGATTGCGCATGCGTTGGCTGTCAGTCTGTTGACTCTCGCTCTTTATCGAACCGTGTGATTTAAAATGGATCTAAAATCCCGATAAAAACAATCAATTTCCCCTGTAATAGTTAATACATTCCTTTGTCTACATAATATGCAGTTGCCATAGTTACAAGAGTAGGAATATTATAACTTTCAACAGTTTGAAAGAGAGTGCAGAACTCTGGTATAGTTGTTGTTATATTAGTGGTTTCATTTAACCACACTTGGACTAAACATGTGAGGTCAGTTTAAGTCAATGACCCACCTTTACAAACGTCTTCATTCGTTCGGGGTACGTATGTTGAACGAAGGATACATACATCCGGGCCTTAAAGTCGAGATATCATTATTTTGGAATATGCAGGCTAATCGTTTTGGCCGTTGAATTGTACGTAATTTGTAATGAAATATAGTTGATCTTCGTTATGTCCTGCTTAACCACCGTGATTGTATGGTCTCTCGGACTTGACAACCGAATTGTCTCCAGGACTTTATCTGCTCGGACGTCTTTGAGAAGAGGCTGGGCTAGCTACAATATAACAGAATACGGAGATCCGACGCAGTATATTCCCCGGCCAAAACATATATTTATTTGGAAAACGATGTTACTATTTTTGGAGGGTCTTAATCACATCAACGTCAAAGATTTCAACAGTTTTTTTAACATACTGTAAACGAAAGCATTTCCCCATGTTTGTTTTCAAATCATTGAACAATGACAAAGATCGGTAATTGCCAATACGTTGAATTTAGACACTCGGACGTAAACTGGGACTCACTATTCAACAGAAACACAGTGTCATTGCTTTGTGGAAATTCTGACTCTTAAAATGACGTCATCAATAAACGGACAGTAACAATAACAACACTAACACGTGAGCGGTCGATTCCATCGTATGTAAGACGAATGTACTGACCAATAATTATTTCGTAGGAACATGTCATAAATTTTAGTTAGAACTGCTTATCTATTAAAAGAACACTCATCATAATACAATGCAGTCTTCGTGGAAATTCTGACTTCAGG